CAACAGCGTCGACTCGCTCGATGCCCAGGCGACCGTGCAGGTCCAGGTGCCACCCAAGTTCATCCAGGCGCCGCGCGACAAGACCGCCTCCGAGAAGGAGGTGCTCAATCTGGAGTGCGCCATACACGGCAAGCCCAAGCCGAGCATACGCTGGCTGAAGAACGGCGAGGTCATCACGCCCAACGAGTACCTCCAGTTCGTCAACGGGCACAATCTGCGCATCCGTGGACTCCTCTACTCCGACGCGGGCATGTTCCAGTGCGTCGGCACCAATCCCGCTGGCAGCGTTCAGGCCTCGGCGCGTCTGCGTGTCGTGCCCCCCGGAGGTAGGTCCTCGTACATATATATCCCATCTGTATAGAAGTAGTTGTAGACCTAGCTTGGATGTCCAGTATTTCGTGCTCCGGCTTACGCAATTGGCGCCTGTTTCAGGCCTCGAAACTGTACATATTATAAAACACACTCACGAAATTAACGCCACGCCCGAACCTCAAATTCCCTCAGCAATTGTAAAATAATTTCCTGTACTTATTGTGTATATATACTAAAAAATATCGGTGTGTATGTATGTGTTTCGTATTGTTTATAAATATTAGTTTGCTTTCGTTGAGCTTAATTCGCTTTCTGCCCGACAAATGTTGAACGAGTTAAATGGAAGATGTTTATGGAATACAAATGTAAAAATAATCTATCCATAATAACTGGATGGTGTCTAGGTTGTATATACTTACTGCTTAAACTTATGATAGAAATCACGTGAAGTCCTATATAGTCCTATTGTAGTTCCATTTGCTGTCGAATCAAACAACCCTCTGTATATTGCTTGAATTTGTTGGGAAACAAAATTCCTTAGAGCTTAGATTTATCTACTGTTAAAATAAAACTTCGTTTGTTGGGTGGGAAATAAACAACAAATGGAATACGTATTTTCAGGGAAGTAAAGAATTAATAGGGCAGTACTCAAACAATAGTATACCAAGTAATCCAGTTCTTTAGTTCAACAATAAACAAGATTTCGGGTTTGAGTCCCAGGCTAAGTCTGTCTACAAAAAGTAGTTGGTATAACATATATGCTATATATACTCTTGATCTGAATAGGAAGTAAGTTAGACTTTACTACGGGAATACCTAATAGGATAAGTCTTATCAGACTAAGAGATACATATTACTCTGTAATAGATAAGACGTATTCTTTTTCAAATGCAAATCCAACCGGGTGACTTTCAACCTCTCGTGAATCAGGCTCAGAGCGAATTAAGTTGTTTTTCTTTTATGTTATGATTAATTAATTTATTAACTTATTGTTTATTCACTTGTCATTTTTTTTCTTTCCCTGTCCAACTCATTATTTCCATCCGAACCCAAAAACCAATCCCAATCCCCATCCAAAGCCAAAATGAAACAACGCAAAACCCAAGGTCAAACCACCAAATCCTTGCACAGTTTAGACAATTACAACTACAACAACAACAAACGACGACGACCTTACAACTCGGGTGAGCTGCGCACCAAATCCGGTGGCAGCAGCTACTTGGACATGGACAACGATGACTACGACAACTATGCGGAAGAGAAGTCCGCGGAGACGGCGGCGCGGCGCCAATTGCGAAAATTCGCGCGACCCGGCGAACAGCCGCTCAACGATCGCAACTTTGAGGCGGGCGAGATCAGTGTGCTGCGCCGCCAGAATGGAGGCGAAGACATTGACGACGACGAAGACGACGATGACGTTGACGTTGACTATGACGGAATACTGGTCTACAAGAACAAGGCGCAACCTCTACAACAACAACAACAGCAACAAATGCCCCCCACATCCAATTTTGCCTCTACAGATCTAAGTGCCGGCGAGGACATCGCCAGCGATGTGAAGCCTTTGAGCAGCGGTCTACTGGCCCGCCTGCCCGGTCCGCCACGCAGCCTGGTGGCGCAGATTGTGAAGTCGCGCTTCGTTACGCTCAGCTGGCAGGAGCCGCTGCAGAATGCCAACGAGGTCGTCTCCTACACCGTCTACTACCGCGTCAGCAACAGCGAGCGGTAAGTCAGTCACACATAACCCCAAGCCAGGATTAGTTACTCATCCCCAATCTCCCTCCACAGCGAGCAAAAGATTGTGACCCAGTCGCATGAGGATCAGCAGGTCAGCATACAATCGCTGCTGCCGGGTCGCACCTATCAGTTTCGTGTGGTTGCCAACACCAATTTTGGCATGGGCGAATCCTCGCAGCCGCTGGAGGCGAGCACACAGCCGGAGGTGAACATTGCCGGACCGCCGCGAAACGTGGATGCCTATGCGCGCAACCACAAGGAGATCTTTGTGCATTGGCAGCCGCCGACGGTGACAAATGGCGAGATACTCAAGTATCGTGTCTACTACTCCGAGGTGAGTACCCCTCTCTCCCCCCTCTCCTTGTTGTATATCTATAAATAATCAATCCTAATCCCGCACAGAACGACAGCGGCGCGGACATGTACAATGACAGCATGTCGTTGGAGCTGGTGCTCACCGATCTGCGTCCCTATACGGACTATGTGATCAGCGTGGTGCCGTTCAATCGCAACGGCATGGGCGACTCCTCTGCCGAGCTGAAAGTGAAGACCTTCTCCTCAACGCCCTCGGAGCCGCCAAATAATGTCACTCTCGAGGTGACCAGCTCAAGCGTGAGTATCAACATTCACTAAGCCCAAACCAAAGCAATTATTAATCTCATTTTTCCAGTCCATAACTGTGCATTGGGAGCCGCCAGCTGAGGAGGATTGCAATGGTCAGATAACCGGCTATAAGATACGCTATCGCAAGTTCAAAGATGCGCCCCAGGCGAAGAGCACGCCCGCCAACATACGCTACTTCGAGCTAAACGGCCTGGACCGCAATGCCGAATACCAGGTGAAGATTGCGGCGATGACCGTGAACGGCTCGGGCCCATTCACCGAATGGTATCGCGCGAACACGCTGGAGAACGATCTGGATGAGACGCAGGTGCCGGGCAAGCCCATCTGGATCAACATACAGCCTGGCGCTGACAATATTGGACTGCACTGGGGTCCACCGCAGCAGCCGGAGATCAAGATACGCAGCTATGTGCTGGGCTGGGGACGCGGGATACCCGACGAGAACACCATCGAGCTGAAGGAAACGGAGCGCTACCATGTGCTCAAGAACCTCGAGTCGAACATGGAGTACGTGGTATCGCTGCGCGCACGTAATGTGAAGGGCGACGGCCCTCCCATCTATGACAACATCAAGACACGGGACGAGGAGCCGCTGGATGTGCCCGTGCCGCTGGAGGTGCCCGTCGGGCTGCGCGCCATAACCATGTCGAGTTCCTCGATTGTTGTCTATTGGATTGACACGATGCTCAACAAGAACCAGCACGTAACTGACAATCGCCACTACACGATCAGCTACAGCATCACGGGCTCCAATCGCTATCGCTACCACAACACCAGCGACCTGAACTGCATGATCAACGATCTGCGTCCGAGCACGCAGTACGAGTTCGCCGTCAAGGTGGTCAAGGGGCGACGGGAGTCCGCGTGGTCCATGTCGGTGCTGAACAGCACCTTTCAGAATGTGCCGGTGACGCCGCCGCGCGAGCTGACCGTGCGCCTGGACGAGCAGAATCCGCATAATGTGATCGTTCAGTGGCTACCGCCCAAGCACACCGTTGGCCAAATAACCGGCTATAATATCTACTATACGACAGACACCACGAAACGGGATCGGGACTGGGCCATTGAGGCGTTCGCCGGCGAGGAGACCATGCTGATGCTGCCCAACCTGAAGCCCTACACCACCTACTACTTCAAGGTGCAGGCACGGACCACCAAGGGCGGCAACAATGCGCCCTTCTCCGCGCTGACGGCGTTCACCACCAGCGCGGCGGTCATCATGCAGGAGGCGGACACCATTGCCAAGGGCATCGATAATCAAAATCTGTTGTACATCATCATTGGCAGCACGGTCCTGGTACTGTTTCTGCTGCTGCTTGGTCTGCTGCTCTTCTGCCGGCGCAAGCCGCAATCCTCGCCCGAACACACCAAGAAGAGGTGAGCACCAATCAGACTTCCAGCTGTTCCTTATGTTTATTCATGAATTTCACTCACCTCACAGCTATCAGAAGAACAATGTGGGCGTGCCGAAGCCACCGGATCTGTGGATCCATCACGACCAGATGGAGCTGAAGAACATTGACAAGAGCCTGCACAGTGCCACGCCTGTTTGCAGCGACAACGCCTCCAGCAGCGGCGCCCTTACTCTGCCGCGCTCGGTGGTCCACAGCGAATACGAGGTGGACACCCCGGTGCCGGGTCATGTCACCAACTCGCTGGACAAACGCGCCTATGTGGCCGGCTACATGAGTGAGTCAAGTCGAGTCGAGTCCAGTCTTGGCACACAAAGCTAATTCTCTGCGTTATTCTTTCCAACCAGCAGCCACCTCGATGAACTCGACCATGGAGCGACCGCAATATCCGCGTACCCAATACAATCATCAGAATCGCTCGCACATGACCATGGACACGGGCCTCTCGCAACAGAGCCTTACACAGCCGCAGAACAATTCGCTGGCCCAGACGCCGGAGCATCCCTACGGTGGCTACGACGCCAACTTCTGGTGAGTGCGCGAACGAATGTGGGGATCTGCCCAAGAGTCTGCGCAGGATTTCTGAATTCGTTAAGCAATCTTTTATCTGTAAAGGCGGCTTTGTAGCCCTGTCTTCCGTTCGGCTAATCCTTACGTGGAAGATCTCAGTTCCAACCTAGAGTAACCAGTTCTATTTAAGATAGTCCCAAGCTTCCTCTAGAAAGCTTTAGTTAATCTCTGCAAGAGGAAAAAGTCGACCAACCACAATCCCAATCTCAATGATTTGTGCGCTTAAAAACGCTTTATGCTCTATCCAAAATCTACTTTCGATTCGACCCACAATTCCATATTCCATTTCCTCTGGTCTGCTTCGAGATCTCTCGTAGATTCTTTCCTTATCTGTGGAGCTGCAGTAGGCGGGAGATTTTCAGTCTCATATTTCGATACGTTTTACCAAAATTTAATCCGGAATTGTTTAATATTTTGTGCCTTTGGCCACAGAAACTCCAACTCCCAAGCGAAATTCGAATTTTCCACAGCAAAAAAACCAATAAAAAAAAAAAAGAAAACATATATATGAAGAAAAATGTGCAATCGAACGCGTTGGGGACGCATCGATCCCAGTGTTCAGGTCGATTTGGTGCAGGGTCCCGCTGATCGTGTGCTCCAGCTGGACCATAGAACGCTTCCGGGTTATGTGGAACAGCAGCTGCTGTTGATGGCGTCACCATCGCCGTTTCTCAATTTCCTGAACAAGTTTCGGCTGGACGAGATACTGATCAATCATCAGCTGAAAGGCGTCTACACGATGCGCACCTCGGCGACGGTCACCGAAGTGGCCACGCACGCCTGGCGCATCATGAGCATGGCCGATCGTCAGCCGTACATACGGCTGGCCCGCAAGGCGCAGCAGATACAGCAGGCGCGCGTGCTCCATTTTCTGGGCAACAATTGCCGCCGGCCCGCGAAGCCGTCCTAGTTCAAGTTTCAAGTCTTTAATGTCGTTCCATTTTGTTTGCTTGACTTGTCAGTTTCCAAATGAAAAATACAACAACTAATTGATTGATCCCTCATTCCTAATCTTCTTCTTCTTTGATTTATTCGCGATTCTTAACGAGCAGCAATGCTGGCTACACGGGCGGCACGGCGAGCAATCCTGGCGCTCCGGGCAATGGCTGCGTCTCCACCATTGAGAGCGCCAAGCGTGGACATCCGCTCAAGAGTTTCAGCGTGCCGGGCCCGCCGCCCACTGGCGCTGCCACGCCCATGAACAAGCACAGTAAGTAACCAAACTGCAGCAGCAAGCAAAAGTGAGTGCATCTAATCTCTATCCATTGCAGCTCCTGCTGTCACAATACGTCCACAAAATCAATCACCCTACAAGAAGCCCTCCTTTTCGGCAGCCACGCCCAATCGCTTGCAGGGCGGCGGCTCCGTGGCGCACTCCACCGATGAGATACAAAGACTGGCGCCCAGCACATCCACCGAGGAGCTGAACCAAGAAATGGCCAATCTGGAGGGCCTCATGAAGGATCTAAGCGCCATCACAGCCAACGAGTTCGAGTGTTAACACCGAAGCGGGCCAAAAGTATTTTTTAGCCGGGTCTAACAACAACAAATATCGGAATGTTTATTGTTTTTATGTCTTTAGTTGATGTTTAGTTTGCATTTCGCATTTTGATTTCATAATTTAGTTTCTAGTTAAGCTTTAAGTGACACGAGCGATTAGAACTGTAAATACAAACGACGCCATATACATATAATTATATATACGTATATTCATATATATATATATATATATATATATATATATGTTAGCCTAGTTAATTTTAAAGCGATTTGTGTGAAGGAACTCTCTGTCTCACAGCCAGTGGCATATTTATTCACATATTCACATACTATATAACCTAAACATAAAAATATATACATACAATGAACGCGTAGTTTAAGCCATCATCCAAGCATCTAAGCCAAGTCTCATCTCGTATATCTTACAACACATTATTCTAATAACTAAAACAAAACAAAACAAAACTAAAAATACCACAAAACATTCGACTTGTGTAGCTTACGAAACTCTGAATCGTGCCATTTCATTTTCTTGTAATTTTCCTTTTAATTTGTTACGCCTAACTTAAGTCCCGTATATAATATGACGAAAGATTCTAGACTGTAATCGAATTAGTAAAGCCAGCAAAGCATTTACACATTTAACTAAACTATACGAGTATGCATACATACTATATATGTAATGATATCTATAAGAATTCCGACTCTTTTGTATCGCGTTTTGATGAGTTCAAAATTCGATGCCTAAAAGTGTTTGTTTTCTTTTTTTTCTTCTATTTATTGTAAGGCAGTTGAACAAAAATTTTCGGAAATTTTTATCATATTGCTAAGCACAATAATCTCAAATTGAATTCAAATCTTAAAAAAACTAAATGCACAGAATAATATATTTTCAAAAATTTGTGTATGCATTTTATTTGATACCAGTTTTTGTAAAAAGCAAAACTAAAATATGGAACGCATTGTATAAAATTGTCAAACACCATATTTATTCGTTTAATTCAATCGTTCTATTCATCTCGCAAGATGAATACTTCCACCATTAGTCTCCATGTTTTGTCCGTAGCAAATCGCAATTGTATCTTATAATCGCCTTGGGGCAGTGGCAGCGTTTGCAGGAATGAATCAGTGAACACCAAATTATCCACAATGACGTCGTGCTAAAAATAATAGAAAATTAAAGATAACTTTCCTATATCCCAGCATGTCCTTTGACACAACTCACATTGTAGGGGCAAGTGTGATTTATATTCGCTCTCGTCTGAATGGCTTTAAGCACAAGTGACTCGAATGCGATCTTGTTCGGGTGTGACAGCAAATGGCAGAAATCACAGCTGGCATTATGCAGAAACGGTTGGTAGGTATTATAGCGACGCCATATGCTCCAGTTGATCTGTATAAAAAAAGAAAAAACATGCTTAAAAAGAGCTATTCTAAAATAAATGTGTCATTTTTTAAAAGAAAATAACATGCGTTTTTGCTTGGCCGTTACAGAAATTATTTAAAACCTCATTTAAATTTAACGGGCAATTTTGCCCCTCAGCGTATGCAATGAAATTTTTAAGTCGCAGACTTTTGTCTACCTGCTGCTGATTTCTGTTCGCCTGGTACTTCAGCTGGAATTTTGTTCAAATCGAGTGGCCAACAGTCAAAAAAACAAACTCCTAAACTGTAAGGACGATTTTGATGTCCTTTGGCCAGTTGATAGCCCTGGTCAATACAAATTGTTTGGCACAGGACTCGCCAGGATCCGCAAGGATACGGCTGAGCTATAGGCTATTTTATGAACATGGCTCCTTGAAGGATTTTCGTCCTTTTCATTGCATATTCTGAACAGGCAGGACAAGCAATGTCTGTTGGCCAAAGGACATCAGGATAGTCCTTGAAATGGCCAAGTTATAGCCGATTTTGTTTTTAATGAAATTTTAGAAAAATAGCAATAACTCAGCCATATCCTTGCAGAATTTCAAAGGTACTGGTTCGTTAGGCTCGTTAAGACCAACCGCATCGATCTGCATCAAAATATTATGGGGTCATCTAAGAATCCTGGACTTGTGCAATTTCCGTAGCGAATTGCAAGGAAAATGGCCCAAAACACAAAATCCTCGATATCTCTAAAACTACTAGGACGATTTTGATGTCCTTTGGCCAGTTGGTAGCCCTGGTCAGTACAATTTGTTTGACACATAACTTGGCAGGATACGCAAGGATACAGCCGAGTTATGAGCCGTTTTTTATAGACAAATTTGTCCTTTTTTCTCAGCTGTTTGAAGGACTTTCGTCCTTTGGGTGGTAAATTCTTAATCTGGGACACAAGGACATTCTACTGGCCAAAGGACATCCCGATAGTCCTTGAAATGGCGAAGTTAGACCCGATTTTTGGCGTTTTGGGCCATTTTTGTGACTTACCCCCTAGGAAAAAATCAGGTGAAATTTTTTGACGAATCCTGGGAATCCTTGAATGCCATTCGATAGTAATGCTTCCCACGTTTTCAAAAAGGTATATCTTTCCGATATCCTTAAGGATTTGGCCAGGATATGGCCATAAATAGAATGTCCTTTTTAGAAAAGTAGCCATATCTTGGAAACTACAAGGACGATTTCGATGTCCTTTGGCCAGTTTGTAGTCCTGGTCAATACAAATTTCTTGGCACAGGACTCACCAGGATCCGCAAGGATACGGCCGAGCTATAAGCTATTTAAGGTGCAAAATAAATATGCTTTTATCTTAGCTCCCTGAAGGACTTTCGTCCTGATCATTGCATATTTTGATGTGCCTAGATAAGGAGTATCTGTGGGCCAAAGGACATCAGGATAGTATTTAAAATAGGTGACTTATGGCCGATTTTGTGATTTATAAAATTTAAGAAAAATAGCTAAAACTCGGCCATATACTTGTAGATTTTCAAAGGACCTGGTTCGTTAGGCTCGTAAGGACCAACTGCATCGATCTACATCACAATATTATGGGGTCATCTAAGAATCCAGGACTTGTGCATTTTCAGTTAGGTAGAAAAGGAAATATCTCGGAATATATCTAACTACACCGATTTTTTTTAATGTCCTTTGGCCAGTTGATAGGCCTGAAAGGGATGCTTTTGGATAAGAATCAGTCTGTGTGATAAACATTTTTATTTGCGTACAAAAAGTAAGCAAGGTAACACTCACGTGTACATTATATATCGGAAGTTTTAGCAGATTTATGTTTATATCGACGGCGACCACGCCTCTGCCGAGTACATTGAGCTTGCACTTCTTGAATGTCGAGAAACTTGGATCATAGGACTCGCACTTCAGATTTGTGAATCGGGATTTCGATTTTCGGCCTATGACCGGTGCCAGCACCAGAAACGCCGCCACTATTAACAAACGCACAGTTGCCGGCTTCATAGCTCGCTCACTAATGATATCCTCGCATATTATAATGCATATTTAAATAGAATACATGTGGGAAGGGGCTATTAATAATACTTAAATAGAATACATGTGGTATGGCATTTAATAAGTTAAGGTTCGTTGATTTCGAAAATTGCATCAAAACAATTATAAATGACATGAATTCAATAAATTTGTTAAATTTGTTCTGCGTTAAAGTAACATCAGTATCGCGATTCTTATAGGCTTTTGTACATTGGTTCCGGCTGAGCGGCTGCCGCAACTAGACTTAATTAAATCTGATTTCCTTATAATATAGCTAGATATCTTTAGTACACACATATAACTACAGATTATTTGTTTGGCATATGTTATTTTTTTTACAATCTTTTCCTTCCGAATTGCCTTAAGCCTAGACATGAATCCATACAAAATACTGGGATTTTTCTCGTTTTCGTTCGAATTGCAAAACCTGTATTTCATATAGCTGCTGATGCTGCAAAAAAGGGAAAATTTTAATTAATTAATTATAATAAATAAATTGATTGTTTCGAACCTTTTTAAGCATATGAATGTGGGAAGTTCCGCTAAGTGCCATCTGCTTAAGCATAGAAATGCATGATTCCATACAAAATACTGGGATTTTTTTGTTCCGTTCTCAGCTTTCAGCCTTGTCAAAGTTTTCCAGCATTTGTGTACGTCCTTTTCCTCGTAGTATAATTATTTAAGTCAACAAATTAATTGCTGATAGACTTTCAGGGAGAATAGCAAAACCTTCATATCATATAGCTGCTGTTGCTGCTGCAAAAAAAACTGTTAATTATATAAAAAATAAATTGATGATTGCGAACCTTTTTAAATGAATGTGGGAAATTCCGCTGAGTGAAGAGCTATTTCCTTAAGCCTAGACAGCTTCCATAAAAATAATGGAATTTTAATAGAGTTTCTCTTTAGCCATGTCAAAGTTCTTTTTTATCGCAGTATAATTAATTATGATTCTGGTGTAAGTCAACAAATTAATTGCTGTTAGACTTTCAAGGGAGAACAGCAAAGCCTCCATCTCACACAGCTGCTGCTGCTGCAAAAAAAAGCTGTTAATTATCTAATAAATAAATTGATTATTGCGAACATTTTTAAGCCAAATAAAAGTTCACATGTGTAAGATTTACGCTTAAAAACTGGTGAAGGTGACATATTTAGTGTGATATTTAGTATAATTTCCCAAGACAAGGAAGCGCTGCCTCAAAGTCTTTATAGCTGTTTAGCCTTGATAATGTTTACAAATAATATAGACTATTTATTCTAGAGTCTGATGTCAGTCAAGGCCGCATTAGTTAGTTCCAATTAGAATTTGGGAATAACCAATAGCATGTGCCAATATTGTGACTGGCAACAGCATGTATATAAACATAAATGTTTATACGGCAGCTGTCGAAATGTTGCTGAAACATATACGGGGCGATAATGTTGCCGACGCTTGAGCGCGTCAACAGCAACACTCATTAGAAAGCAGCTGACGCGACCCGCCCCCTTGCCCGCCCGTTACCCGCCCCGTTGTCGAGAGCGCAGAGAAGACGGATGCCCAAGCCCATTGAGCTTAGCTTTTAACCAGTTTACATCGGGCAGCCGTCGAGTGCGCAGCGAAAAAAAAAACGGCAGTTGGCATTTGTGTATGTGTGTGTGCGTGTGTGTCTCAGACGCAAAGTAATTCTTGTTATTCTCGCCCAGCCCATGTGCAGCTTTTAATAGTTTCGTGTGTGCGTCGCAGACAAAGAAGGCGTTAAGCAACTCGAAATCAACGACAAACGAGTGAAATCTGATTTGAATTTGAATTTGGATTTGTCAAAGCTTTTAATAGCACGTACGCCATGAATCAACTGCCGAAATGCGCTTGGCGTGTTAAAGGCACAGGCTTCCGACGCACTGTATCCAAGATCGCTGGCGCTCAGGCGCAGCTGTTGCAGAGCGAGCAGCGACAGCGTCGCCTGGATGGGCAGCAGCAGCGCGACAACTCGGCAGCGGCAGCGACGGAAGCAGCAACAGCAGCAGCGGCAGCGGCAGGAGCTGCAGCTGTTTGTCCACACTTGGGCCTGGAGCAGGAGCCAGCGGTGCCACGCATACATGGCACGGCCGAGTGGCAAAATGCATTGGCCTACAACGAGATACCAGGACCAAAGCCCATGCCCATACTTGGCAATACTTGGCGGTGTGTATGCAGTTGAAAAAGGAAGACAAACGAGGAAAGAAAGAAAAGGGGGGGAAAAAAAAACAAGCAAATGACTTAGGCGACAAACTTGATTTCACTTTTCATGCCCTGCAATGCGATTAATGCAATGCATTTTAATAAGAGACAAAGAGAGAGCAAATAAGAGCGAAGAGAGAGTTTGCAGTTATGTTTTCTTTTACTTCGCTTGCTTCTCTTGACCCAATTACCGTTGAATGGAATGTGTAGCGTGTGTATGTGTGCGCTTGTGTGTGTGTGTGTGTGTGTGTGCGACCACTTGATGATCATCTCATTCGAGTGTTGATTTTTGCTTGTAAAAGCATTCATCATTTCACTGACCATGACCAAACGGGTTTCCCCTCCCCTCGCCTCCCCTCGCCCACCAACATTAATGCTGCACCCAAATTATGCCACACACAAATCGCTTTGCGAATTCTTGTCGATTTTTTTTTTTTTCTTTTTTTCAATTTACAGCTACTTACCAATCGCTGTTGGTGGTATAACAGGGCATCGCATCTGGTTAGCTTCCCCTTTGGTTTGGGCACTTGCCCAGTCATCCGCCGTCGGCTTCTTCTTGATTAGCGTTCAATTAGCGCCAGTTTCAAGGTCGCCAAAATGTGTGAACTTTTCGATGCAGCCTGAAAATGATAAGCAAACAATAGTTACCTGAGTGCTATTTATTTATACATAAGTGCGATTGCTCATTGTGTGCGTGTGTGTGTGTGCGAGCGTGTACATTGGCAAAAAAACTGCAATTGTCTTTTGAAGAAGCGTTAAGTAATCGATAATTGCATTTTACACTTGACATTCAAATCGATAATTTATCTAGAACTCATCGATAACCTAAAACTGTTAAACTATTTTGACAGTTTTTCTATTAAGCTGACATTTAATTTCTGCTCAAATTCAGTCCAACAATAATATTGAAAACTTGATTGTCTGTCTTTAAATGTGGTTTAAACTTCGTAAAGTACTATTACCGCCTTCTGAATACGCTTTCCCACAATTTATTTAACTACTGCAAGTGTAAGCTTAAGCTTTTAGAAGATTTTAACCTCCAGTTTGACTGTCTGCCTAATCTAAACTTAACCAAACCTAACTCCATATACTAGTATTTTGCTGGCTCGAGGTCGTGTTAGTAATTTTTAATTTAAATATTAATCAACAAACAACACAGTTGATGCCCTGTTCGCTTTGTTTGTCTCGTTACCTGAAGCGTGCAATTCCCAACCAGTCAAAGCTGCGGGCTGTGACATGCGGACAGATCGTTGGAATCCTACTTGTGATAAATCCGCAAGGTCCTTGAAATAGCGACACGGACAACCTGCATATTTGTTCAACTGAAATACATTTTGTACAGAGTATATTTCATGAAATAATTATGATCTTTAACGAAGCTAACTATTTTGTCGATACGACAGCAGAGTGTCTAGCAGTTCCCTTTGCATTCCACTGTCATATATAATTATAAGATAAGATCAACTAATTTATGGTAGCATTTACTCCACGAAAAACCTAGCACGTTCTTTACATAATTCTCTTCTTTTTTTACAAATGCACCCAATATATCATCAAGCTAGACATCTTAATGACATCGTTTTTACGGTCATGCAAATAAATCTGGACAATTATTCCTCTTAAATATACAATTATTTAAGATATGCGCGTAGTCGCAAGGTTCCCCAATTGCTCTGCAAATAGCCAAATGAAAATTGGGCAATGTCAGTTTGTCATTTAAATGAGTTTCCATTCACCTTGACAGCCTCATGCCAATCATTGGCCAATATACCATATCGGATGTGGCCAAAATCTCATCGCTGCTGCACGACAGATACGGCCGTATTGTGCGCTTCTCTGGCCTTATAGGTAGGCCCGATCTGCTGTTCATCTACGATGCTGACGAAATTGAAAAGGTAAGGAGACAAGTCAAACAGCGGAACATCGCGTTAACTCCACTTGGAGTCACGCTCGACTGGCCAGCGCCGAGGCAACAAAGCAGCATAAGTCGCAAATTGCGGCAAACACATTTTCAATGTCTTAACAAGTACAGCGAAATATTGTATAAAGAGTATCTGATTGCAGTGCTATCGCAGCGAGGGACCCACCCCCTTCCGGCCATCGATGCCCAGTCTGGTCAAGTACAAGAGCGTGGTGCGCAAGGATTTCTTTGGCGAACTTGGCGGCGTTGTCGGCGTGTAAATCTATATATATATATATATATATAACTATATGCATAATTAATCCATGGACTCACATTGTTGCAGGCATGGCGAGCCGTGGCGTCAGTTCCGTTCGCGCGTCCAGAAGCCGGTGCTGCAGTTGTCCACCATAAGACGCTATCTGCAGCCGCTGGAGCTGATTACTGAGGATTTTCTGGCACGCTGTGAGCAGCTGCTGGATGCCAACGAGGAGCTGCCCGCCGATTTCGATAATGAAATACACAAATGGTCCTTGGAATGTGAGTAGCATATATAGTACAAGCATTTTGGCCGATCCCAAAGATTGCTCCAACTGCAGGCATTGGTCGCGTGGCGTTGGACACACGTTTGGGCTGCCTGGAGCACAATCTGACGCCCGACTCGGAGCCGCAGCAGATCATCGATGCAGCCAAGTACGCACTGCGCAATGTGGCCACGCTGGAGCTGAAGGCGCCCTACTGGCGCTACTTTCCCACGCCCCTCTGGACGCGTTATGTGAAGAACATGAACTTCTTCGTGGGGTAAGTCGATTAGCAGGGCAAGCTCAAAAACTATTTTTGAATCACAATCAACCATCTTGCAGCGTGTGCATGAAGTACATACAAAGCGCAACGGAGCGCTTGAAGACACAGGATGCCAGTCATCGTGCCGGCGAGCCATCGCTGCTGGAGAAGGTGATCATGTCGGAGAAGGATGACAAAATAGCCACCATTATGGCATTGGATTTGATACTCGTTGGCATAGACACGGTAAGTGCCAGTCCACATCCTGTCTGGCCTGCAAACTGAGCCGTGTTCCCTGCTACAGATCTCGATGGCCGTGTGCTCCATACTCTATCAACTGGCCACGCGTCCCGTGGAACAGCAGAAGGTGCACGAAGAACTGAAGCGTCTGCTGCCTGATGCCAACACACCGCTCACGATTCCATTGCTGGACCAAATGCATCACTTGAAGGCATTCATCAAGGAGGTCTTCCGCATGTACAGCACCGTCATCGGCAATGGACGCACGCTGCAGGAGGACAGTGTTATATGCGGCTACCAGGTGCCCAAGGGAGTGCAGGTCCGTAAATACTCTTATTATATGTTCCATACTATTTTTGTTTTAAACTATTTGGAATTCTTTTTTCAGGCCGTCTTTCCCACTATTGTTACCGGCAACATGGAGGAATATGTCACGGATGCCGCTACATTCCGGCCAGAGCGCTGGTTGAAGGCACATCAGGGCGGCACGCCCGGCAAACTGCATCCGTTTGCCTCACTGCCCTACGGCTACGGTGCACGCATGTGCCTGGGACGGCGCTTTGCCGATCTGGAAATGCAAATACTGCTGGCCAAGCTGCTGCGCAACTATAGACTGGAGTACAATCATGCGCCACTGGACTACGCGGTTACCTTCATGTATGCGCCGGATGGTCCGCTGCGTTTCAAAATGACGCGCATTTAGTTGTAGTTATTAGCTCTAAGTGTTTATACATTAGGCATATTATACCTTTTAAATATATATATTAAATACCCTGGCATACTTATAGCCGTGTCTACATATACTTTACAATGGATTTACACAAAAACTCAATATTAGGCTGATTGTTCCTATAACAGCTATAAGCCCTATAGGCTTAGATACATTCTTATTGTCTGAGTTTTGAAAAAACCAAACTTTGTATAAGATAAAGTTTGTATATAAGATATAGAGAACAGATATTAGATTCGTAAGAATATCTGAAGATACAGAGAAACAAATACTCAGTTTTAACTGACAGTTGCTAAAAGCTCTTAGATAGATGTACAATAGAACGATCTTTAAGAAAACTGAGACTAGTTTAGATAGCAATATTGACTCGCTGGTGGAAGAATATTTCTACTCTATAGATTCTGAGTTGTCTCCCTGTTAAAGTTATGCCACCCTCAGCAACCAGTTAAATAGTTTGTTGATATTTGTAGTCTGGGTTTTACTTGCGTTTCCACATGCTGTACCAATTTTTAACTGTTTTTAGGCTATTTTGGGCATCCGCCTTGGTTTCGCCGCTCAACTCGTAAATGATGTCCTCCTTATACGATTCGCGTGCTTCCTCCAATATTGTGCCGAATATTTCGCATTGTATATTGGATGTTAGCTTCTTCTCGTTATAGTTGCGCTCCTTGAGTCTGTCGTAGAGCGTCTCGTTGGGACATTTAACAACGAAGACGGCCTGGAACCAGCGCTCCGGAAAGAAATCACAGCCATGGTATTCGACAATGTTGCCGCCGTTGGCCATCAGCGGCTCCAGATAGTCCATGAGCTATAGCAAGGTCTAACAATGACAGCCACACACATAACGCAGTATATACGACATACCTTATCCTCATCGAGTATGGGGCAATCGTATTCCTTGTCATATTCCTCAATGAAATTGTTTTCCTTTGCAATTTTCGAGCAGTCCAGCCAGCTGAATTTCAATTGTGTGGCCAAACGCTCGCACAAATACGATTTGCCGGCGCCAGGTGTGCCTGAGATAATGTAACTCCTTTTTATGTAGCTTAAATATATTAATTTAAGTAATGCATACCGGTAATTAATATATTTGGTTTGCTTATTTCCGTCATATCCAGCTTGTTTAGGTCAAAAACAAAAACCAACGTGAGTTAACCAGGGCTACAGCACACCGATAGGCAAATATATCGATAACATTTCAATTCGTGCTCAGTTAATGAACAGCTAAGCGCCAGAACTTGGGCATTTGAACAACTTACTAACTTATTTAGTCGTCAGTTTATCCTTATTCAGTTGATTTTAAAGTCAGTTGTTAACAAATACAAGCTCTAATTAAACTACCAATAATTATTATTAGTAAAACAATTGAAGCTTTTAATTTTAATCAACTACTAATGCAAGTCGTGACATTCCCTGTCAAAGCTACATATTTGTATAATGCGCTTTGCTCTAATTCTGACATTATTCTGAGTTCCTCTTTAGCAGCAATTTGTACTCACAGATGCATGTGCGTATGTATCTAATTTCGGAGATTTTTCATTTCCCTTTTAGCACTCACCTACAGAACTCGGATAGAAAAAGTTCAATTTAATTCGATAGTTCGCGGGCGACGGATCGCTTTTTTTGCCAGATTAAATGCTAAATTTATACATGCAATGCCGAAAGCGGAGCAACCTGACCTAGACGAGGACCAAGAATCAGATCTAGGTGAAGTGAAGGCCGATCCAGAACGTCGCCAGCACGTACCCTACATATTGAACGGTGAGCTCTATCGCATCGAAAGCCAGATTGGCGACAATGTGACCGTCAAGTGCTGTTATTGTCCGCCGGATCGAATTTATCGGGGCAGCGTGCGGTCCACAGGAAATTTTCATATGCACATCAAGGTAGGCCGTTGTTGCACGTGAGATACACGAATTAGCTAATTATCTAGCAAAGCAAAAAAGAAACAACATTTTAATTGCAAATCCCTGGCAGCGGCGACATGCATCTTTGCTGGGCAAACTGCATGAAATGAAAGTTGCAGCGTTGGTGGAACGACGGGATCGCATTATGAAAAACAGACGCATTGCCAAATGTCGCAAGAAATCCACGTCGTCGGTCACAATTTCAGCTTTAGCTGCAGTTGCCGCCGCTTCGTCCATGGAAGTGCCAAAGAGCACAGAGACGCACGAGCTAAAAATCAAAACGGTATTTCAAAGGCACAAACAAGAACATCACGAACAGGAAGAAGCAGCGGCCATACGAACAGTAAGAAACCGAAAAAAAAAGTGTTGTCTTTGTCCATTTGTGTAAGTGGCGTGAAGCGAGAGCGAGATCACTATGTTAAGGCATGCTATGCACCGTTATAAGTTCACACATTATACAGGCCAATGCATAAGTGTGCGAAAAAAAATTGCCAACGAATGTGTGTATGTATTTACATTTGTATGTATCTACTGCAACAGACACTTGAATGGACATTGAAATGCTTATGTATGTGTTTGTATGTATGTATTCGGTGTATTTAGGCATTCTTCCCGTCTCTCTTATCTAGTCAATTTCTATAAGCGACACTTCGATGGATAATAATAGCCTAAGCTCGGACAAAGTATCCGTTACGGCCTCAAAGCAGGACAGCAATAACAACGACAGTAACAACAATAATAATGCTGCTACTTTTAGTAATAATCATCGACAGGATGAGCACAATGTAAGTGAATTGGAGATGTGTATTTAAATTTGAACTCTATTCAACCATGATCAATTGTAGCTTACGAATCTGAGCCCAGGCATGGTTAGCGCATTCGAGTCCAATTCGGCTGTAGGCGTCAATGGTAATGCAATTGATTTGCCCGCCATGGTCAGCATACCGCGTATGCTGCCCTTCAATCTGATCAAGCCGGAGCAACAGCAGCAAATGCTTGTCGAGCAGCCGGAGGCCATAGATCTTAGTAGAACCTCGTCGATGCAAAGCGATGACATGGAACAGAGCGTATTCACCCAGTCTGTGCAGAATATACAAGTCGGCATAACGCGCACACAGGAACTGGCTGCATTTGTTAATGGGCCGCCGCGTGAGATTCTAATGCGCATTGACAACACATTAGCCGATATTAAGGATGAGCTGCAGGCGCGCAATCAAATCGAGCGCAAACGCCTTCTATTCGACATGGCTAAATTTAAGTTTTTGCATCCGAATTTCAACTTTGAATTCACACAATAAAACCGGCACCTGCTTCCACTTACTAAAATAATGTACCTTTTGGTATTTTCTGAAAGAGCAATAAATACTATAATCGAGTATAAGTAAAAAGTTATCGATAGGCACGCGCATTCGGCGATTCTGCTGCATTTTGATTGTAATCGATGTTACTTGTCCGTGGACAACTAGTTGCGACTTGTTTCTTTTTATTATGTCTTTTGTTGTGTGTAAAGTTATTTAATTGTTTTTAATATGGATGACGAAAAGCAACTTGTACATCCTGAGGACGATCTATCCAGCGATGAAGATGAAATTAAAACTCTCGACGCACCGAAGAGTTTACCTTACGCGACTGCCAAAGAGCAACCCTCCACTAGCCGAAGCCAGGTATTTTTTGGATCGGGGATTACCCAAACAAATAATAATGACGTGCCGCCCTTATTGAGCCTAGAACCTGAGCCCGCCTATGTGAGTATATGTTGCCAACATACTTTCGTAACTACGCTGCGGCGTGCATGAATCATACAACAGCTGCAAATTATCGCAACTAAAATGCGTTCACACACACACACACACATGAAGTGCGCACTAACTATGTAGATTTCAATTATAGGAGGGCAGCAGCGGCAACAATGCGGGCACCGCAAGCATCACAGCGAATTCCGAGCCCATATTCCATGTACGCTCGCGCACAGCAGCCGCTTTGGCGGGAACTGCACAGCAAACCCAAACCCAATATGAGGTATTTACACACACACACACATACATACATATATACACATATATATACGTCTGATAATAATCTAATCTTCTTGCAAGAGTCTGGACTATGATGTGTGCGAGAATGCGCTTTTTCAGGCCGAGCAGCGCAAACGTCTGAGGGATCGCTTCTCGCTGCGCATCCATGTGATACGCTGGATCATATTCATACTCATAGGCATTGTAACTGCCCTGATAGCCTGCACCATCGACATAGTCATCGAGGAGCTCTCGGAGCTGAAGTACAAATTTCTCAAATCATGTATATAAAGCTGCTAATGGTCGTCACAAATGCATTAATACACTCTCGCCCACAGCTGTGGACCACAATGTGCCTGTTAACGAGAGCACGGGCGATCTGGCGCTGCCCTTTTTCTGGTGGCTGCTCTTCAGCATTGTGCCGGTGGCGATTGGTGCTGGCATGGTCACCTACATAGAGCCCATTACCGCGGGCAGCGGCATACCCCAGGTGAAGAGCTATCTGAACGGCGTCAAGGTGCCGCGCATTGTGCGCATCAAGACGCTGGCCGTGAAGGCCGTCGGCGTGATCACGTCCGTGGTGGGCGGCTTGGCTGGCGGCAAGGAGGGACCGATGATACATGCTGGCGCCGTTGTCGCCGCGGGCATATCGCAGGGCAAGAGCACAACGTTTGTCAAGGACTTTCGCATCTTTAAGGCCTTTCGCGATGATCACGAGAAACGCGACTTTGTCTTGGGCGGTGCAGCGGCTGGTGTCTCGGCTGCATTCGGTGCGCCCATTGGCGGCATGCTCTTCTCACTGGAGGAGGCCGCAAGCTTCTGGAATCAGAATCTCATTTGGCGCACCCTAATTGCGTCCATCATCAGTTCGTTTACGCTTAATATTGTGCTGTCTGCCTATCACGGCCTGCACGATTTCACATTTACGGGTCTCTTCAACTTGGGCAAATTCGATCAGCCGCTGACCTTTGAATACTTTGAGCTGCCGCTCTTCATGCTGCTGGGCGTGACGGGCGGTCTGCTAGGCGCCGCTTGGAACTCCCTAAACACGCGGATCAACAAGTTTCGCAAGCGGTATGTGCCCTGGAAGGTGGGCAAGGTGTGCGAGGCCGTACTGGTTGCCATAATGGGCGTCACATTAGCCTGCACCATGATCTATTTCATCGATGATTGTCGTCCTCTGGGCAACGATCCGACCATACATCCCGTGCAGCTCTTCTGCGAGGACAACGAATACAATGCGGTGGCAGCGCTCTGGTTCCAAACGCCCGAGGCCACGGTGCGTGCGCTCTTTCACGATCCTCCAGGTGAGTTCCTTCTGGAGTTGATATCTTTCCAGATTCATGACTATTCTATTTTGCAGGCTCTCATAAGATCCTTACGCTAGCTGTGTTCACGCTCGTCTACTACTTTTTGTCCTGCGCCACCTTTGGCCTCAACGTCTCGCTGGGCGTCTTTATACCCACCGCGCTGGTGGGCGCTGCCTGGGGTCGCCTCGTGGCAATGCTAATCTTCTATTTGTTTCCCAATGCGGTAGGTGTTATGCCTGCCATTTTCTATATCTCATCTACCACTTTGCCTCTGTCCATCCATAGCTCTTTCTGCACCCTGGCAAATACGCACTCATTGGCGCCGCGGCCAATCTGGGCGGAGTGCTGCGCATGACCATCAGCCTGTCGGTCATTCTGATGGAGACGACTGGCATCGAGACGTCCTTTTTCTTTCCGCTGATCATAGCGCTGATCACCGCCAAATGGGTGGGCGACTACTTCAACGACGGCATCTATGACACTGTCATCGAGGTCAACAATGTGCCCATGCTCTCCTGGGAGCCACTGCCACAATATAAAGGTCTAACCGCCAACGAAATACTGAGCAAGCCCGTGGTCAGCATCAAGCTGGTGGATAGCGCCCATTATATCTATGAGGTGCTGCAGAAATGCAATCACAATGGATTTCCCGTGGTCGATGACGTGGTGGACGTAAGTAACCATTTACTCAAATCCTTGAATCTTTTCTTTAATCAATTGTTTTGGGTTCTCTGCAGAATCGTCGCTCCGAGGGACGCGTTTGCGGCATCATTTTGCGCTCCCAGCTAATTGTCATATTGCTCAAATCGCTGTACGTGGAAAACAAACGTTTTTGGATACCGGAGACATCGATACAAACATTCCGGGATGTCTATCCGCGATATCCGTCCATTAATGTACGCAAAATTGTTATGTTTTCTGTTTCTGTTTCGGATCTAATCTATTTGTAACTCTTTCTTTAGAGCGTGCGTCCATTGGACAAAAAAATTAATTATACCGTAGATCTAT